TTTCACTGGCTGTGCCGAGATGATGTCTCCAATAAACATGTTGTCATGCCCCCGTCAGAGTGTGAATACGAGGAGGAAGATGAACAGCCATCAGGGAGCAGAAAAGAAGGTCCATTGGCTGTGGAGGAAACTGGGGAAGGGCAAAGTCAGGCTGGGCAGAGGTAGGGGAGCGGTAAAACAAGGGAGAGGGAGTTCAGAGGAAGACCAAGGCCCACCCCTTCTTCATCCTAGGGCACGCAGGGAAGAATGGAGAAGAGAGCAACGTGGGTTGTGTGGCTTACGAGGGAAGGGCCCTGATTCCCCTCACAAGGCACACCTGGGAAGGGAGTTTAAAGGAGAGGCAGTTTGGGAGGGGCGTTTTTCAGGAACAAACCTTGAGTTTATCTTGTGTTTGGCTGTGGTTATTTGAGTTCCTGGCATCCCCCCAACTGGTTTTATTTACTGCTTGGTTACTTCATTTCTGGAACTCCTTATCTTGCTCTGCCTGATTTAATTACCTTATCTTGCTTTGATGGATTTATAGTTTAAAGTTTTCAATTTACAATGTTTGGACTGGAATATCTGTAGCCAAAGGCTGGTGCAGGTTTGTGGGAGAGTTTTTCTCCAGACTGGAAGGTAACCGGGTCATTGGGGGGCAAAGTTGAAGCTGAAAAAGAAACTCATTCTTATTCACTGACTGTGTTTGCCTTTGTGCCACGCCCCGGGTCATCACTCATCTTCTTTGAGGAACCTCCCTGCCTCGGAGTCCTGCTTTCAATGGGTGCATTACTCAGAACATTGACATGGTGATCCAATTTTCCCCGCTAGAAAGTTAGATCAAAATCTGAACCACACTGTATCTGAATAGGTGCTTTTTCAAGACTTTCTGGTTTTTCTTTGAAGACGTTTCACTTGTTACCCAAGAAGCTTCTTCAGCTCTGAAAACTTAACACCTGCAGTGAGTCACTTAACAAGTGTTGCCAGAGAGAAAATAGGGCAAAATTTTGGGCTCAATTGTGGTTGTAAGTCAAGGACTCTCTGGATAAAAAAAATTAGGAGGCAAAATTAATTCTAGATGAGCTCATTAAAGTCTGAAGAAATATAATACAAGACAGACAGAACATCTTCGCTGTGATGGGTGAGAGCAAAGTTAGCTTTGTGGATCAACCTATTTGCTTGTGTTTTAATTCTGTTTCAGAATAACTAGGCCTCCGAAATAGCTTAAACCAATTTAACCCAAAGCAACTACTGAAATCCTTAAAGGGGGAAAAAAAGAGGGAAGTCTAAAAGTTAATGTCATCCAAAAACTTTAGACAAGGGAATGAAAACTTGGACCAGAGTGGCACTTTGGCAAAACAAAATAAATGTATTTCAGAATAAATATATTTGATGATTCAGCAAAGGGGCATGTAAAGAACTGGCTGTTCAAAGACAATAAAGGAGCTTTAGACAGAGATTTCCACAGCCTGGTGCCACGTGGAAATCCTCTTGTCCTACAACTCAACCACAGGCGACCAGATGGAGAACTTGAGAATGGAAAATAGTATAAATAATGGCTGTGGCACATCATTGGGTTGCACAAAGAAAACCTTTGGGAAGATGCTATCAGGTGAAAATCAAGCAATCATCTTAATGGGGTCGTTTAGGATTAACACGTCATCTGGCAGTCAACTCCAATTGGAGGAGGAAATTTGTTAATTTCCAACTACAGGTAGTCCTTCACTTATAGCCACTTAGCAACTACCTGAAGCTACAACAGACTTCTCCCAAAGTTTCTTACAATCCAGATTCAAAGTTCTAATGTCACATGGTCTGCATTTTGGGACCTTGGCAACTGGCCAGCATTTATGGCTATTTGCAGTGCCCTGCAGTCACATGAGCACAATTTACAGTGTGGTTTTTTTTGCTGGAAACTGGCAAAAAAACCACAAAACCCCACACCTTATAGTGAACAATAGATTTGCTTAACGACCGCTACAAAAAAATCATAGTAAAATCGGTCATGGACATGTGCTGACCCACCTAATACAAATTACGACTAAAATTGTGGGCTCCATTACCATTGTAATTCAAGGACTATCTGCAAGTTGATGTGGGCTCTTCAAAGATTTCCCATGTGATCCCAGAATTTATGCCCATATTACAGATAATCATGTCTTTCAAATAAACATTGTAAACGAAACATGGTATTGACCGTATCATGTAGGCTTAGTCTATGTTTAATCCTAATTAAAGGGATGGGTTTGCAGAGTTGAATGTCCTGCCTACTGAGCTACTTTTTTTTGGCAAGCAACCTGGTTCTTTCTTGGTGCACAAATGGTTAATGGTTTGATATGCACTAAAACATTCTTAGTGCTGTTTCTAGTCTTGGAATTGTCCAGACTGAATGGAAAGGATTTCTTTTCTGTGGCTATCCAAGAAACAGCAAACTTCCTGTATTACTATATATAACCTGGTGGTTTTGGCAGTAAGCTAGAAAATGAAAGACTGTGAGTTCAAGTCCCACCTTAGCTATGAAAGCCAGTTCTCTCAGTCCAAGCCACCTCACAGGGTTGTTGTTATGGGGAAAAAGGAGGAGGAAGTATTGGATATGTTTGCTGCCTGGAGTTGTTTGTAAAAGTAATAAAGCTGGGATACAAATAAACACAACACATAAATCAGGGTAAACTCCTGGGCTCGGGTTTTTATGCCCTCTGGAGCCCAGGGAGGGTGAAAACAGCCCTTCTGCCATGGTGCAGGAGGCCACACCCACCACGGCCCACCCAGCAACTGGGCAGAGGACCAGTTGCTAAATTTTTTGAAGCCCATCCCTGCCCTACTTCTTAAGTATACATAACTCTGGTGCCAAGTTATGCCACTTAAGCCTTATACCAGCAACAGGTTTGTTTTCAAGTTCAGTGACTTTTAACTACTTTTTTTAAAAAATCAACATCTTTGTCACAAGATAGAGGAATTAATGAGAGGAATCAGCTTCCATCTTAAGAGACAATTAGAATGCCACATCCAGCATTTCCATATGATTACCTGCACGTTGTCTCTTACCAAAATTGTTCCCGAGAGATTAAGCCAGATCTAGTGATTCACCTGGCTAACCAGGTATCTTTCCTCATCAAAGGGAGCTCAGTGGTTAAAGAAGCAGAGCTGGGAGAGCTGACAGCCCAGGTTCGAGACCCGAGCTCTGCACAACAGGATGAGTTCCTATTCTTGCCTCAGCTCCTGCCTTCCTAGCAGTTCAAAAGCAAGCAAATGTGAGTAGATTAATAGGTACCACTTCGGTGGGAAAGTTACAGTGTTCCATGGCACTAGTCATGGAATAGTCATGGCATATAGTCATGTTGGCTACATAATCACGGAAATTGTCTTCGGACAACGCTGGCTCCCTTAACCAAGAAAGAGAGATAAGAACCATATCCCAAAGTCGGACACAACTGGACAGGGAAACCTTTACCTAGTGATTTACTTTGCTAACCAGATATCTCTCCTCATCAGCCCTGCTTGCATTCAATAACCTTTTCAGGTGTCTTCTTAAATCACCATCTTTGCACAAAACTGTTATTTTCCTCGATGCCTCCTTCCTCAATAAATTAACCAAGTGCCTTCTTTGAAGGCAGAAACAATGGAAGAAATCAGCCTGGGTGAAGACAGACTTTCGTATTTCCATCTTGAAGGTCCACCAGATGTTAGATCCGATGGTCAACCTTGACGGTATCATTTCAGATGAAAAGTTCAATTGAAATTCATCGTCACGAAGGGGGAAATGGCTAAATTTCAGAAAACATGGTAGGTGGGCCAGTCAAAATTTTTCTGTGCAAGCATTGAATAGCCACCATAGAGTTTACTGGCCAAGCCTGGTAATCACGTCTGTAAGCTGTGATTGTACGAGAGAAGCATAGTGCTTGGGTCACACAGTCTGACTATGTTTAACCTGTAAAATCCTACTGAAATGCGGAACTGTTGAGACTTGTTCTTAAGCCCCAAAGGTGAGTATTTTAATACTCAAATGCAGCTCCTTTATCAGGTAATCAATTCTCCACTTGCAGATTAGAGGGTAAACTATATTTTAAATTTGACTTAATTTCTTCTTATTTAAAAGTGACTAAGGTCTGGGAATTATCCAAACTGGGTGGGGATTGTTTTTGAGCATCACAATGCCTTCTAAACCCTCCCTATTCTTTTAAAACATGCAGCCACATTCTACACAATTAACAATTTTCTCCCATTGCATGCTACTTGTTTAGAGGGTTTCTTTTCTTTTCTCTGGCTTATTACAACCACAAAGAAGGCCTTCTTCATCTCTCTAATTTCCATTGGTGCCCCAGACTTCTTTTTTTCCTGGCAACTGTCAAGAGAGAACAATGAGCAACTGCATTGATACAATTTGCAATGCTTAGTTAGGTAGTAACTTGGCTGTCTTTTTTTTTGTGGCACAATATGTTATTGCAACAATTAGACATGTGTTTCAATTCTCATTCGGTGAAGTCTGAAATGGCATACAGTCTCCTATTTGAGCAGGGGGTTGGACTAGAAGACCTCCAAGGTCCCTTCCAAATCTGTTCCCTTGTTAAGTGAACAATCCAAGAAGTGAGTTAATCCAGTAAATGTGCTGCATGAATCGGACCAGTGTAATTTCTTCCTGTCCTTTGGTAATTCCCAGTTGGGCCCCAAACCGTTTCTTGGTTAACATTGGTTCCCATTGTAAAAAGGAAGGGGTTGTGGGAATCAGACAGCAGAGGCTAGATAAAGATATTATTTTTATCTCCCCTTTATCTTGTTGGGGAAAACCAGACAGATATCTTTAAATGTAATTAATGTATCTAAGGCATTTGATCAGCATCTGGCAAGCACACACTCAAGCGAGAAACACAAAAGCCATAAAAGATATCTCAAACCACAAAGCCAATATAAGCAAGGTTAAGAGGATGGGCTGAATTTCTTTCCAAAGCAAACCCTTCTCTGCCGTCTTTCCAATCTGGCCTCCCTGCACACCACAGGGTGCCACTTACCTATGTATTGGCCTTTACCTTCTCGGAACGGCGGACCGAGAGGACCTTTCACCACCGGCTGCATGTATTTCATCTGCGCATAACCTCCTCCAGGGCCCCCTCCGGCTATTGCAGAGATTCGGATGCCCACCAGCAGCCACAGAGCCACCTCATGGAACATGGTGCCTTGCTGAGAGTCTCCCTAGAACCAAAAAAAGGAGAAGGGGCAAAGTTACTTGAAGAAAACCTCCAGGCTATTCTCGAAGGCTCATGAGCCAGAATAAAAGCGGGAAGAGGGCAGCTGTATCGAGAGCAAAGCTTGGCTTTGGTACCCTATCTTGGTCTCTCCTCAGCTATCTAAGCGTTGTCGGCCTAGTTCTTTTCCTGTCCAATCACAGGCCACAACTTTCAATGTATCAGAAGCATGCCATGAATGTTGTACCAGTACAACTACCACGAGGTTTATAGATTCACAAAATGGGGGCCTTAGCTCCCATGAATACCCCATCTCCCACATCATGAAGGATCTCTACAATCTCCTTGCTTTCTGGACACACTTTCAAAATCAGGGCTGGGCTACAGTAAGTTATCTTTCTATCAATGGGTGGAAGCTTTACAGAAGGAGATCCAAATTCAAAATAAGAAGAAATTTCCTGATTACACGAGCTATTAAGCAGTGGAAGATCTAGTGGAACAGCCTGAGCTGTTGGGGTTGGGATGAGAAACATCAAAGGTCCCTTCTACCCCTGAGATGTTATGATTTTCTAAAAACGTTGATGGGATCCATCCATCCCATCGACCAGAAGGAACAAAATAAAAACACATAGAGCAAAAAGACCATTTAAACCAGAGGTCCCCAAACTTGGCAACTTTAAGAGTTGTGGACTTTAACTCCCAGAATTCCTTTGCTGGCTGAGGAATTCTGGGAGTTGAAGTCCACAACTCTTAAAGTTGCCAAGTTTGGGGACCCTTGATTTAAACCAATAAACAAGGCTGAGGCCCCAATAAAACTTATGCTTATCCACCAACTATCCCATGGCAGGTCCATCAACCTCTTGGCCTCAGTGCCTGGGGAAAAGCCAGATTTTCACTTGTTTTCCTGAAGGCCAACAGCTGTTCCATAAGGTTGACACCATGACACAGAATGTAGACCTCCAAGCATGCCTACTCGGCTAGATCTGATAGGATAGGCTAAAGCCATTGAGGATAGGCAATCCCACAAATAACCCAATCCCATTCCATGTAGGAATATTAAAGATCTCAACCAGCACCTTCAATTGCACTTCAATTGAGAAGTCTCATGCAGTACCAAAATCCTGCTGTATTTTGAACCAGCTGCAACTTCCAGATGCTCTTCAGTGGCAGTTCCACGTAAATCCCATTTGCAGTTGTCCAAGCAAGAGGTGACTAAGGCATGAGTAACCACGAACCCTTATGGAGATCATCAGCACTTGTGGAAATGCTGAAAGCACATGCAAATACCCAACTTCCCAATTCTTCTTCTTCTTGAAATTTCAATAAAGAAGAGCGCTTCTCTGATGCAAAAAAAAAAGATAAATAAGGCTTAGAAGAAACTTCTGAGAGTTCTGGGAATTCGTGTGTTGCTTTGCTCATTTCATACCAATCGTCAGATCACTCCCATCAAGAGGGAAACAAGGGAGTAGATTCAAAACAGGGGCATCTGCCCTCTCCTGCCCACCAACTTCTCTTTTTATGTATCTTCTGAAGATTCGAGGACCCACCCATCTCTCGCCTTCCTTTGCAGAAGGCACTCAAAGGATGAATAGAAGCTCATGATTTCAGCACATTTCTCTCCCTCCCTCCCCTCCAGTTGCAATGGACCATAACTCCCATTATATCTCAATCAACATATCCCTGGCACACCCAGTCAGATTATTATAGGAACAGGAGCCAAGAACATCTGGGGAGCACCTGTTTGGGCAAGGCTGCGAGCAGTTGGGATACATCCTGAGTGCATAGCGAAAATGTGGGAGATGTGGCAAGAAAGGAAGCTTGTAAAAGCAGAGGTCCTTGAATCAGGGGTCCTTGATGCTCTCTCAGCCTGGTTGTTTTCTTGCAGACCCTTCATTACCCAAACTAGGTTAACATCACTGATGATGAAGCAAGGAAACAACTAGGCTGAGAGAGCACCAAAGGCCTCTCATTTCAATACCGAACTACAAATATTCTCCTTATTGTCTATGGAGAGTCTCAGTCATCCAGGTCATGGTTGTCCCACAGGTGCTTTTTCAAGCGGCAACTGGACTTTCTGGGTTTTTCTTTGAAGACGTTTCACTTCTCGTCCAAGAAGCTTCTTCAGCTCGGACTGGATGGTGGGGAATGGAAGGATTTATATTCTGTGCAGACAGCTGGTCATTTGCATTCTGTTAGTGAGTCCTTGAGGACACTTGGAGGTTTATCAGTCACCTGAGTAGTGCAAATGGGCGTGGAGCCTTCTTGGCTGCAGAATGTTTTCTGCCCTGTGTCCCTTCACTGGGGATTCTCCTTTCTTGGTAACTTTGAATCAGGCCACTTGTTTTAAATGAGGCTGTAGTGCAGACACCTTTGAAAGCCTTGTCTCCGAAACATCCCTAAAGTCCACCTTGATTGGAGAATTAAAGTAGTCAAGGAAAGGTAAGAGATACTAAACGAAGGTGCCGTCATTGCTCTCTGTTTTTCTCCGCTGTGGAAGATTTCCTTGAGATCTGGCTCTTGAAAATTTCTCCCCTTCCAAAACTCAGAGCTCATTCTGCTGCCTTTGAAAATTTTTGGCTCAAAGGAAGGGTGTGAAGAAAATCCCCCGTTGCGTTTGGCGGCTTAAAAAATGGATATGTCAGAGGCACAATTCTCTGGCTTGGAGTCCTGCCAGAGGCAGTAACTCTCCAATGTGGTGCTTCTTGAAATGTCAATGGAAGTTTGTTTGGTCAAGTGCTTATGAGGAATCTTGATGGTTTATGATGCTTCATGAGACGAGCTAAAGGGCCCACTTGTGTAAAATTAAAAGGCTTTCCATAAACACCGGTTTCCCCTCTAACAACATTTTCCGAAGCAGGGCTTCAAACAAGGGTCTGTGTGAAGCAAAGGAGAGATTATTTTCTGACAGGTTTAATGACACAGAACACCAAAAAGTGCTGTGGATTAATTGAACCGCAATCGCCATTAATAAAAATTAAAGACGTTGGCCCTTTCCTGCTTGGGAGGGAAGCAGGGAAGGGAAGAAGTTCTCCAGGAACTGGATTGGAATTTCCTGAGCTGCTTTCCTTGAAATAGCAGTGAGGGGGGAGAGAGAATATGAGAGAGAAGGAGCAGGCAATATGAGAGGAAAGACCACTTTTGAGTCGGGGGGGCTACAGTGGACAAATACTCTATAAGAAAGGGATTTGAACACTTCCTGGATTGGGCAGTTTCTTAAATGGGTGTAAGTAATAGTATCATTTCTCGCCCTAGGCAGATAAGAGTTCCAATGTATTCAGTTAAATCCAGGGGTGAGATTCAAAGTTTTTAACAATCGGTTCTGTAGGCGTGGCTTAGGTGGTGGGCATGGCTTGGTGGTCATGTGACTGGGTGGACATGGCTTGGTGGTCATGTGACTGGCTGGGCGTGGCCAACTCAACATCACTCACATCAAGGCACGCATCTCCTCGCCTGGCCTCTCATGACTGTGGGGATGCTGCAACAGTCGTAAGAAAAATGGTCATAAGTCACTTTTTTCAGTGCCATTGTAACTTTAAATGGTCACTCCACACAAGCAAAGTACCAGCAAAGGAGGGGGGAAAAAACTCCAGAGACATTCCTGAGACAGGAAGTCTAGTTCTGCCAAGAATGTAATAAGGGTTAACGGAGGGGCAGTTTCTATAAGCAACACCAGAATGTTTCCTTCCCGCCTTCCTTACAGGATTAGGCCAGTAATTTCTTCTAACAACCGGTTCTCCAAACTGCTTAGAATGTTAACAACCAGTTCTAGTGAATAGGGGCCAACTGGTAGAATCCCACCCCTGGTTAAATCTGAGAACAAGACTTCTTCCCTTCTCTTGGTTTTTAGTACTTATGACTCAAATCACCTAAGACAGCATTAAACTTACAGGTAGTCCTTGACTTATGATTATGTTTTTAGTGATCATTTGAAGTTACAGTGGCACTGAAAACTGTGATTTATACTTATGACCGTTGCAGCATCCCCATGATAACATGATTAAAATTTGAACGTTGGCAGCTGGCATGTCATTTATGGTAGTTGCCATGTCCCGGGATCATGTGATCACAATTTTTACTTTTCCGGTCAGCTTCCAGCAAGCAGAAATCAATGGGGTAAGCCAGATTTGCTTCACAACTACGTGATTCATTTAACAACAATGTTTCACTTAAAAACCATAGAGCAGCAAAGACCCTTGCCTCCCATTCTGAAGAGTTTCTTTCTCAGGGCGCAAATAAAAAATATCTGCTGTGAACTCCTCATGGTATCGGGAAGGGCATCCGGCCAGTAAATGCTTAGCTCCATCCAGTCACCCCAATAGTACTCCAAATTAAGAGATGATAGAGTCATAAAAAGGGAGGATTTTTTATATTCACTTAATGACCATTAAAAAAAAAGGCTGTAAAATAAGGCTTGACTCAAATGTCTCATTTAGTGTGGACATTCCAATGCCCATTGCAGTTATAAGTCAAACGCTTCCTGTAATGGAATCCATTTTCCAAGCTTCCATAGGACCTATCCTCTTGGTCAACATCAGACGAAGCAAATGCTGGCCCAAGACAGAAAGTAAGTAGAATGGAGGGTGGAAATCTCAATGGTTTCTGAGCTGGGTTGTTTGCCTGCAGATGTTTTGTTACCTGACCAGGTAATGAAATGCCTGCAAGCAAAACAACCAAGCACAGAGAGCCCTGAGGATTCCACAGTTCAAAATGAAGGATGCCGGAAGAAATTCAGTGACCTCTTTTTTTTTTTTCATGAAACATCAAGATCCGTTTTTCCATATGAATTTATTTTTTTCAGGAAAGCTGTGTACAGTACAGTCCTTGAAACTGCCTTCTTCAGCTTGGCATTCTCCAAAATTCTGGACTATAGGTATACTTGGGGGTAATGGAGATGTGGATTTACAAATCTGGAAAGCATCAGAAACTTTGAAAAGATGCCTCGAACCACTCTGTCCTTGGAGAAGTCAAAATGACCCATTCAGAGGAGAAGTCTATGTCAAGACCATT